TGACAAGAGAGAGTAAAAGAAAGAGACAAGTGAACCCAAAGCTGGCAACGTTGCACTCGCAAATACCATCCACGCTATGGGGACGTTAAGTAGCTGATACCATGGTTAAATCACGATCAATATATCTAGGACTCCAATTTGTTATCACCATTGTTTGGGGTTCAAAAATGTTGCAGCATGACTGCAAGAAGAATATCGTGAAAAATAAAGTTATCGGAAAATGACGTATCCTACAAAGCTGGAAATCGAATAACTAAGCAATATTCATCAAGACATATAAAAAAAATTAAGGGGAACTGGGGGACGTCATAATGATGCGCGACATGTGTGACGCCAAAAAGATTCCAGGATGTAAATATATATATATATTATATATATATATATATAATATAGTTGTGAAGTGACAAAATTATATGTCTTGCCACAAAAAAGGTTAACCAGAGTTTAACTCGTATTAAATGTGTATTTAGATAGTATAGTCTCCGTATAAATTTTGACGTAATTTTATTAACTTTATCTATTTATGTGATTAGAAGATGCATCTAACACTGAATAATTAATTAATGTTGTATTACTGATCAAATCAATCAACGTTTGTCTTCTTATTTCTAGCCTTGGCGTGTAATAAAGATCCAATTAGGAATTATAAATGTTTTTGATTACAAAACATAACCACTTCATTAAAAGTGATATCCATATTTAACATAACATAACATCACGCTTTTTCCCCGAAGGAGTAAGCAGAAATGCACATTACGGCACTTAATGCCACTGTACAATGTAATATCCACAGTTTTTTACTATTTATGTTATGAGTCCCATGTAATAGGGGGTGAGTTTATTGCTATATACCGGGCCCACTTCCAGACTCTTGAAAAAACCCAGTAATACTTTGCCCAACCCGGGAATGGAACCCGAGACTCTTTGCCAGGCGATCGCACTTGCGACCACTCGGCCAACGAGGCAGTAAAATGATATCCATATTCTTTGTTTTTATTGGCTTACTTAGAATTGGTAACTTCATATCAATAATCTACCAATTAAATATTTGATACAATTAGAGCTGGTTTCAAAGCTAGGGGATATGGGCAGCGCGGCTGAAGCGCGGGCTTCAACAATAGAGGCATCAGGCAACAATCCAATAGAGGAGTTAATCGAGTGGCCACAACTAGAAGTATTAAATTAGGAATCTTGCCTTAAATGAAATTGAAATTCAATACAATATTTGCGCACAAAGATCAGATTAGGTGCGGTCTTCAGTTACTTAAGGTTTAGATTAAAATAAAAGTGTATCTCATAGATCATAATTTCTAGCGATAAAGTCCTCTACTGGGACCTCTACCTCTATGACAGTTGCGTCGCAATAAAACGATGCTAGAGCTCTCATCATCTCCAAGCGCGAGGCATTTCAGCAGCGCTGCCCAGTCCTCTAGCTCTGAAACCAGCCTAAATGAAAGAAGTTTTGAACATATATACTTAATAAAACCATTCTAGTAATAAGATATATTCTTACTATCTTTACTAATTACGGACGTCCAATAGCTATACGTGGACGTTCAATAGCTATATACGGACGCCCAATAGCTATATACGGACGCCCAATAGCTATATACGGACGCCAAATAGCTATATACGAACGTTCAACAGAAATATACTGACGATCAATAGCTAGGTGATCTAACATGATACCTTTTTTTTTTGAGGGATAAAAAATCATCCAATGCCTTTTGCCGCCGGCCGCCGGCGGCCGCGCTGGTGAGGCGAGTGGAAGTTTCAGAGGAAGTTTCTCTTACTGACTTTTTTTTAAGCGGGGAAAATCATCGATTGACTGCTCCCGCCTGGGTAAGGCGGGAGGGAGTGTCACTCTTACTGACTAAAAACCACCCCGTTCCTTCTCCTGCACGTCCAGCCGGAGCCCCGGTTACCCGTTAGGTTCTTCGCGACTCCGACTCGGCATCGGCCCTGTTGGGCCCCATCTGTGGTGGTTTTATGGCTCTTTGAGGCCCGCGCGGAACGCGACGCGCCGCACGTTCAGGTCTGTTTCTGGTCGGACGGGGAGCCACCCATGCTCGCCGTCCGCAGGCCCGCGCTTACGGTGGCCGGAGATCGTCCCGCGATCCCCGACGCCCGGTGTGTCCTTCGCGATGGCTGGGTTGCGAGGAGGCAGCGCTTCGTTGCCTCATGCGTCCCGCCTCCTCCTTAGCTAGCTTAAATGCTTCACAAAAGGAGGAGGGCATCCCAGTCCCCCTCGCTCCGCATCATGGCCTGCACTAGGCCCGGACGCGAGAGGTCGCCATCGCCGATCACTTCCCTGAGGGTACGGCGGTGCTCAGCCCACGCAATGCATTCCGCTATAGTGTGTTCCACCGTGTCCTCAGGGCGGTCCTCACAGTGATGACACCCGGACGTTTCCTCCCGCCCCATCAGACACAGGTAACTTCCGACTCTTACTGACTTAAAACCACCCCGTTCTATTCCTGCACTTCGAGTCGGAGCCCCGGTCACCCTTTAAGTCCTCTGAGGCTCCGTATGGGCATCAGCTCAATCCGTGGTGGTCTGATGGCTCCTTGGGGCGTATGCGGAACGCGACGCGCCGTACGTTCGGGTCTGGTTCTGATCGGGCGGCAAGTCATCCGTGCTCGCCGACCGCAGGCCCGTGCTTACGGTGGACGGAGACCGTTTCGCGATCCCCGACGCCTGGAGTGTCTCTCGTGACGGCTGGAGCGTGAGGAGGCTCGTTCCCTCACGAGCTCCGCCTCCTCCTTAGCTAGCAGGACTGCTTCGCAGAAGGAGGAGATGGCATCCCTGTCTCCCTCACTCTGTACCATGGTCTGAACCAGTGTCGGACGCGAGAGGTCGACCGACGACGGTGTTCAGCCCACGCAGGGCACACTGCCACCGTATGCTACACCGTGTCTCCCGGGTGGCCCTCGCCATGATGACACCCGAGCGTTTCCTCCCGCCCAATCCGAAACAGGAACCTACCGAAAATATCGTGTCCGGTAAGCACCTGCGTCAGGCGGTAGGTAAGGACGTCGTAGCGTCTCTGTCTCTCAATCCACTCCTCAAATCTAACACGACACCTGCTGAGGAAGTACGTGGATGTTCAATAGCTATATACGGACGCCCAATAGCTATATATGGACGTTCAATAGCTATATACGGACGCCCAATAGCTATATACGGACGTTCGATAGCTAAGTGATCTTACATTATACCTGCTGAGGAAGAAACTTTCTTCGCGCGCATGGCCATCGTCAGGCTCCGCAAGAGACCCCTGCCATTACCATGTCAATTGTCAGGATCCGCAATCAACGGACCTCCCATTTCCGTGTGTGAGCAGTATAGTGATGTAGCTTTTTACTTGATGACCATAGCGTTTGGGTCAACTGAAATTTGCATGACCATTTTTGAATTCCTAACGTAGCCCAGTAGATGGTGCTAGTCCAGCAGTGGACTTAAATAGGCTGATGATGATTAATAACTATATACGGACGCCAATAGCTATTGGGCTCTATAACTGTGAAAGATCATCTAGCTACATTTAAAAAGTATGTTATTCCTACTGCGGCATCTTCTCATGTAAAAATCTCATAGAAACCTCAATTTTTTTGCATCTTGTTACCAATATTATACCAATACCGGGCATTAGTATAGATTTTACGAATATTGTAATACTGTTAAAACTCTGTCCCAGACGAGTGACAAGAGAGAGGAAAAGAAAGAGACAAGTGAACCCAAAGCTGGCAACGTTGCACTCGCAAATACCATCCACGCTGTGAGGACGTTAATTAGCCGAAGCCATGGTTAAATCACGATCAATATATCTAGGAGCCCAATTAGTTATCACGATGGTTTGGGGTTCAAAAATGTTGCAGCATGACTGCAAGAAGAATATCGTGAAAAATAAAATTATCGGAAAATGACGTATCCTACAAAGCTGGAAATCGAATAACTAAGCAATATTCATTAAGACATATAAAAAAAATTAAGGGGAACTGGGGGACGTCGTAATGATGCGCGACGTGTGTGACGCCAAAAAGATTCCAGGATGTAAATATATATATATATTATATATATATATATATATATATTATATTATATATTATAAATCGGAAAGTGAGTTTTGTTTGTTTGTTTGTTTGTTCCGACTTCACGCCGTAACTACTAAACCGATTGCATTGAATTTTGCAGACGTAAAGTTAGTAGTCTGGATTAAATAATAGGGTACTTTTTATCCCGAAAAAATTTGATATTCCCGAGGGAAAACAAAAGTATTGGTATAGATGGCGCTGTATGTATTGGTATATGTCACATAGGCTACTTTTTATCCTTTTGTGACGCGAGCGAAGCCGCGGGTAAAAGCTAGTAACAAATATAACAAAAAAAGAATTAGTGAAATCGGTCCAGCCGTTCACGCGTGATGCCGTGACCAAGGGAAAAAGGGATATATATATGAAATGTGTGTAATGCCCTACATCTCGACTCGCGAGAGTCGGTATTTCGCAATCCTCCCGCCCTGAGACCCTCAAGGAAGAGGAGGATCGCGTTCCCTGTATACATAAATATATATATACTAGCTTCTTCCGCGCGGTTTCACACGCTCTGCTCAGCTCCTATTGGTCGTAGCGTGATGTTTTATAGCCTATAGCCATCCTCGATAAATGCGCTATCCAATACAAAAAGAAATATTCAAATCAGACTTGTAGTTACTTGTTGTTGTTAAATAATAACAATGTAAACATTATAATTTTCTTTGCTAATATAAATACAACCTAAGATTAAAATAGTATTGTTGACATTATTGTGCAATTTATTCAATAGGTTTAATGTAAAATGAATATAATAATAAAAACCGGGTTTGCATCATCCGCTCGCCTACTCGCTTTGCACATAGCCAATAGATTGATGTGTGGCCGTGTGTACATTCTGCCCTTCATCTTTCGGACCAAACAGACAAACGGGGCAAGGTAAATAATATCGTGATATTTTGGTTCCAGTCATCAGATGAAGGTTCCACAGTGCAACGCATGTTTGAAGTGAAGACACCGCCATCTACCGCCAGCAAGACGGAACCGCAGAAGAAAATAATCAAACATGTCGTCCACATGACTAATACCACTAACAAGAACCGTAAGTAATAAATATTATTTTTGAGAGGGTAGACACAGTGTTGACATTGTTTTTTGTGTGCTGTGATATTTATTTATTTTAAACTGTCAAACACCAAGCGGTCACCGGTGACCGCGACCTATTGTTCTTTAATTGTGTCTATAAAACCGGTACTCGACGAGTTAAAATTGGCTAAGGGTGACATTTAATGTATTAAACTACATTAACTGTGTCATTGACCCCCCTTTCCTTGCGGATAATCGTTTTCAAGTCTCTCGCACCATCACTACATCATCCAAGTACCACACCATCATGGATAACAAACTTGCCGCTAACTTGGAGGTCATGCAGTCCTTTTTGACATCAAGAATGGCTGCCTATGAAGACAAACTGGAGAAGGTTTCGGCAGCAATGCCTGGTTCAGCTGATTTGGAGTCGTTGCACTTGGATTATATGGAGTTCAAGAAATTTGTGCTGCAGGCAGTGGCGAACTTCATGTCACAGCTTGAGTTGCTGATGCTGGGTCACGACAAACATGAGACTGCGATGCGACGTAAGGTGTTGTTAGTCCATGGCGTCCCTGAGCACAAGAATGAGCAGCTGCGTGAGGTTGTTGTGGACGTGTTGTGCAACCGGATGGGCTTGACTGAGCTGCATAAGGGGAATATCCATGTTTGTCATAGACTGGGTTCCTCTAGCCGCAGTCCTAGACCGATTCTTGTGCGCTTCTACACGACCGAACACCGTCATCTCGTCTGGGATAATAAGAAGTCGCTGAAGGGCACTGGCATCACAATCTCCGAGTTTTTAACGCAACTGAGACACCGGTCCTTTATTGCAGCCCGCAAACATTTCGGCCAGACAAATTGCTGGACTGTGGAGGGCAGGATTGTTATCATCGCGCCGGATAAGTCCCGCCATAAGATTGAGTCCATGGCGCAACTGCAGGAGCTTGTTGTCAGATTTCCACCTGTTTCCTCTGGACCCGACATTCCCGTGGCAGTTGGTCCCGGCTCGCCTTCCTGCACGACTACTGATTTGGAGACCAAAATCCCAAGGAAGGCGCGTCGACGTAACAACAACTAAGTGCTACTTCATATACGAGGTTACACTTTTTTATTCATTCTTGTAGACCCTGGTGGTGGACTTTGTACCCATTGGCCTTATTAAATGTCAACAATTTTGAGATAATTTTATATTTAAGTTTTTGTTTTGCCGGTATGTCACGATTTCGTTGATAAACATTGTGTTTACTTACACCTACATTCACTTTCATTTTTCATTTCAAAACCTATCTGTCAAATGTCATCTGTGTCACTGTCGTTTAATGATGTTGCGTTTTGTTAATGCTACCTAAGTTTGTTAGTTTCTTTTTTAATTAGGTAATTTATTCTGTTTTAGATACTATTGTTACATTTTTCTTATTATTATGCCGTGTAAGTCCACTTTTACATTATTTTTCTTTTTTTTAGCAGGTGCTTATTTTCTTAATTTTTTCGTAACTTGTAATATTTTTTCTTCTACTCTTTTTATGCTAAATGTCTGCAAGTTGGGGGGTTGTTTATTTTATTTAATTTTTTTGTAATTAGCAGCCTTACAGCCTTTTATTTCTATTTTTGATATTACTGTATTTTATTATTGATATAATATTACTATTAGTTTATTTATATTTTTGGCACTATAATGGACAATTTTGTTGACTTAAACGAAAGTTTTTTCTCATGCTCTTCCGAGTCTAGTTGTGCCAGTGCGGGTGGTGGGGCATCGCAGTCATGCACTCTGCATGACTCGCTATCCTGCATTTTTTCGCCTTATCCCAAAAACTTAAATATCGCTCACATAAATGCCCAGAGTGTTCCTGGCCACTATTCCGATCTTCTGGCATCCTTTAGCAATGCTCACCTTGATATCCTGCTGATTTCCGAGTCATTCCTTAAGCCTTCTCTCCTTTCCACGCACTATGTCCTGCCGGGCTTCGTTTTAATCCGCAATGACAGAACAGGCAAGGGCGGGGGCGGGGTCGCCATGTACGTCCGCTCCGACCTACCTTTCCGCGTGATTAGTGCGTCCCCGTCTACCTACTCGGAGTCGGCGGAGTATATGTTTGTAGAGATCACAATAAACATGAACAAAATTTTAGTTGCTGTCTTGTATAGTCCAAATCTCCATATCAACTATTTTGATGCTCTTGACATGCAGTTAAATAATTTGTGCCCTAATTATGACCATATTGTAATAATGGGGGACTTTTTTTTTTTTTTTTTTTTTTTTAATATTACATTTCTTATTCTCCACGGACTCTTGTCCGTGCCCTTGTCATTCCATTACATTATCTTTTAATTTACAGTCAAAATTAATTGTTACAAAAATCTTACGTGCTACATTAACCACATTTTTTTTTTTTTTTTTTTTCCACAAAGAAGGTTGTGTCTAATATCTATATATACACAATACATGTTTTATTACATTTACATTAACCTTACTGGACCGGCCCACACGCGCGATGAGCGAGCCGACCTGCTCCAGCAGAAGGCGCCCGTTCACGAGCATGACGTGAGGGCCAGCAATCGGTCCGATCAACCATTTCGTAGGGAACGGAGCGACCCAGTCCACAGCGCCACCGACTGTAGAACATTTAAGAATGCATGACGTCTGCTCACGCAGCAGTAAGCCGATTCCAGTAGTGCCAATGTATTTTGTCAGTCTTATTGATAAAATTTACATTACGTTACATTATATTTACTACATTTTAACATTATTAAACACACACAAATATATATTAATGTCACGCTTGCATCACAATTCAAGCTTACAGCGAGCCCTCCCCACCCAAAAGAGCGCCCACTACCGCCATGTCCCTGTTGCTGATAGCCATTTTCAAGTTATAGTCCAGGATCCCCCGCTCGATGGGGGACTTTAATACATGCCTTCTGAAGCAAAATTCACGTTCACATAAACTCCTATCTCTTCTCACCTCTTTTAATCTTAGTTTACTTCCTCTTTCACCCACTCATCATGCTCCTAACTCTTCGCCTTCCTTACTTGACCTGATGATCGTGTCCTCACCTGATCATGTTGATGATCATGGCCAGCTGACTGCTTCATTTTCTTACCATGATTTAATATATTTATCATACCGGATCCGCACTCCTAAACGAAAACCTCGCTTTGTCAATTTGCGCAGTTACAAGCGCCTGGATCTGGAGGCGTTGCAGCATGATGTCTCTCTCATTGACTGGAGTCTTGTGATTGATGCTGGGGACATTGATGTGAAGGTTGACACTTTTAACTCGATTATACACGATCTGTATGATAAACACGCACCGGTGCGTCGTGTGAGGATTAAACACGACCCAGCTCCGTGGGTTACTTCTGTAATTAAAGATGCCATGGGTCGTAGGGACAGGGCGAAACAAAAACTTAAGCGCAGACCTTCCGCTGAAAATCTAGCGAATTTCAAAATGCTGCGGAACCGATGCAGTCGTCTGTGTAGAGATGCTAGGAGGCGCTATTTTGAGGAGAACCTGGAGAAGCACAATTCAAGCGACGTTTGGAGGTTCTTGCGATCTGTGGGCATTGGTAAATCACCTGTTTCCGATGCCAACGACGTAGACCTTGCGGTTCTAAACGACCACTTCTCACTCTCCCGGTATCACTCGACGGCTCCATTAAATCTGTCACCCTATCCAATCTTTCTAGTTTACCACTTCCTCCCTGTTCTCCGTTCGTCCTTAGCAGTGTCACTGATGATGACGTGAGAAAGTCCATGTTGGCGGTGAAGTCCTCAGCGGTGGGCAGTGATAAACTATGCTCTCGTATGTTTATCCCTATTCTTCATCTCCTCACCCCTATTCTTACCCACATCTTTAATTTCTCCTTTTTTCCTGTTCTTTCCCTACTGCCTGGAAAATGGCTCACGTTATTCCCCTGCCTAAAATAAACAAACCTTCTGTTCCCTCTCACTATAGACCTATTTCTATTCTCCCTTTTCTTTCCAAGGTCATGGAACATATTGTTCACAAACAACTAACGGCCTATTTATCCAGTAATAATCTCATTTCCTCCTTCCAGTCAGGTTTTCGTCCTGGTCACAGCACCGTCACAGCTTTGCTCAAAGTTACAGATGACATTCGCTGGGCCATGGATAATAAATCTCTCACTCTTCTTGTTCTGTTGGACTTCAGTTCCGCCTTCAATTCCGTAGATTTTGATGTCCTGTTGGGTATCCTTAAGTCCAACAATTTCTCCTCTTCTTCCTTATCCTGGATCAACTCCTATCTCCGGGGCCGCCGTCAGCGGGTTCGCCTAGAGGATACCTTTTCCGATTGGTGTGACCTCGCTGCTGGCGTGCCTCAGGGTGGTGTCCTTTCTCCAGTTCTTTTTTCCATTTTTATTAACACCGTTACCATGGTTATCACTTCTAATTTCCACCTCTACGCAGACGACTTGCAGCTTTACCGTCATTTCAAGCTGTCAGAGGTCGACTCTGCAATTGAAGCCATGAACCGTGACCTGAGTGGGGTCGATGAGTGGGCCAAATCCTTTGGCCTGCAAATCGACCCCCTCAAGTCCAAGGCTATGATAATTGGGGGTAGGTTTTACCGCAACGCATTGAGCATCTCTGCCCTTGATCCTTTGATCCTAAATGGCAATGTTATCCCTTACACTGATGTTGCCAAGAATCTGGGCGTGTTTATTAACTCTAACCTTTCGTGGGGTGAACAGGTGAACGAGATCAGTCGTAGAGTTCATTTCTCTTTGCATTCGCTGAAGCGTCTCCAGTCTCTTCTACCTCTGAAAACGAGGATCAACCTTATGCAGTCTCTGATCCGTCCATTGATCGACTACGCTGATGCTTGCTATTTGGATGCCACGGAGGAGCTTCTAAATAAACTTGAGCGCTTGCAAAATGTCTGTATACGCTTTGCCTTTGGTTTAAAAAAGTACGATCATATCTCGGAATTTCGCAAAAGGCTCAAGTGGCTCCAATCCGACTTCACAGGAACACTCGCATTATGTCTTCTTTTCAAATATACTTTTTAATCCCGATTATCCCTCTTACCTTCGTGAACGTTTTTTTTGCCCGCCCTCCTGAGGCTCTTTCCCGATCTCATCTTAAATCTAATCTTTCTGTTGTCTCACAATACTGATTTTTACACCTATTCCTTCACTGTTCATGCAGTGCGACTTTGGAATTCCTACCACCTAATATCCGTGATTCTAAATCCATCCTTTAAAAGACTCGTAAGGGAGCACTACCTTTCCTCATCTTGTTCAAATTAGTGTCATATATTTATATTATATATATATTTGTATGTTTTTTGTAATATACTCTAATATGTGTATTATTTGATGTGTATCGATCATATGTATGTATAGGTTTATGTATTTTATTGTGATCTATTTTTTTTAATACATATTATGTCATGTTACGCACAGTGTTTGTTTTTTGTTTTTCCTGTCGAAGGACTGCAGGAAGAGATTCCTTCGGGAATATGAGTACCTATGTCCTAAAATATTTATATATGTGTTCTCCTATGTACTGTCTGTGTGTTGTGCATAAACCGATAAATAAATAAATAAATAAATTATTTGTATTATAAGTTTTGTAAGACGTTATATTGAATACTAGCTGTGCCCGCGACTTCATTCGCATGAAATAGCGATTTACTGCGCTTACCCCGTAGGTGATAGCGTGATAATAAACAGGTCAGCATATAGTAGCCTATATGCTGACCTGTGTGCTTACTCTTGAAACCAATCTCAATGTCAATGCAATTTCAATCCAATAAAATCTCAATAATTATTCAATGTCAAAACGATACAACCCCTATCGTAGCTGTTAAAATAGCATTTAGAGTACGGAATATAAAGCCAAATTCAATACCATTAAGTTAATTCAATATCCACGCAATACGGATGCAATGGGCGCTAGTGTTGTAACTCAAGAGTACGTAATTTCACAATACCAATGTCGATAGATCGGAATTGGATTCAAGAGTAAGCCCCCTGACCTGTTAGTAATAATTATACAAAATTTGAAGTTAATCCATGCAGTACTTTTTGAGATCATCCCGGACATACATGGGTGTTACTTCTGTGTGCATCTCTGCCTACCCCTTCGGGGATAAAAGGCGTGATGTTATGTTATGTTACTTTCCCTATTGGTGATCGTGACGACCAAACAATCAGTCGGACCAATCCTCCTCCAATGACTACAAATCACCACCTTTTAACAAATTTTATTTTATTTCATTTTTACAGAAAAACAAGATCCAAAACAAGTCAAAACGTACTCACAACAAAAAACGCAATCTAAACCGAATTTCACCCCGCAAAAACCGAATTTTAGTCAAAAACTATCTTCGACACCAAAACCGAATTTCGGGACGCAAAAACCGATTTTAAAAACGCCGAAACCAATACCACAATTGTTGTCGAAATTCACTAAATCGGTTGAGATCAAAACGCCGGCGCCTTTCAAGCCTTTGGACAAAAACTCAAAAGATCAAGGTTCGAAGCCCGGCGTGAAAGATGAGAGCCAAAAACACGATGATTTTGATGATGTTATCGACGAGGAAGAATTCCTAGAAGATGATGAGTTCGATCTGGATGAAGAGGTAAGACTTTGTCATTTTTTTGTGGAATAGGAGGTAAACGAGCAGACGGATCACCTGATGGTAAGCGATCAGCGTCGTCAATAGACACTCGCGACATCAGAGAAGTCACAGGTGCGTTGCCGGCCTTTTAAAAAGGAATACGCTCTTTCATGTTACGTAGGTGGATTGAAAAGTTAGCGGACTCAGCAAGAAAACAATTGGGTAGTATCCAGGGTATCAAAATTAAAAATCTAATTAGTCCGTCAGTAAGATAATGAAAAAATATTAGACACGTATTTTCTATTTCCTCGTATTATGTTGCAATACTTAGATAAAATGGCGCTAGGTTTAGGAGTGGGAGGTTATTACGTCATAACGTGCTACAAAATGTGGCACGCTGTGACGTCACACATGATATTTTAAATTAATATATCGTCGAAAGTATTTAATTTTGTGGGAAAAGAAAAAAACAGACGGACATTGAAATAAAATTAAGGAAAATACTTTATTTTCCCACGTGATCTCCACTTAACTCCATGCTTCCATCTGCTTTCCAACGCCTGTATCATCATCATCAACATCCTATAAATACCCACTGCTGAGCAAAACCTCTTTTCACACGAAGACGGTTTGAGCATTAACCACCACGCTTGCTCAATGCGAGTTGGCGATTACAAACTTATAATTAGATTTTATAAGCCCAGGTTTTCTCACGATGTTTTCCTTCACCGTTTGTCAGTGGTGTCTAAATAATCTTAGCAAGTACATATAACTTGGAAAACGTCACATTGGTACTTGCCGTTAGTAAAAGAATTGCACAACTTGATTCCCCCTAGTCCTTTCCATCATCGTACCACAAGACAATCCGCGAAGCGTCACCGATTCATGGTAGATGTCCCACACACACGCACATAGCGCTTCGCATCAAGCTTCCTTGTGCGTACTGCTAAGGAGTGGAATTCTTTGCTAGAGTCTGTATTTCCTGAAGGGTATAACCTGGGAGTCTTCAAGGCCCGAGTGAATAGGTTGCTTATGGGTCGACGTGCTCCATCGTAGACAGCATCATCGCTTACCACCTGGCGAGATAGTGGTCAAACGACGGCCCGTCAAATATAAAAAAAGTTGTTAAAGTGCTCTCTTTTTTTTATGGCAAAAGCCGGTAAACGAGCAGACGGATCACCTGATGGTAAGCAATCGGCGTTGCCCATGGACACCTGGAACACCAGAGGCGTTACAAGTGCTGTACCGGCTTTTTGGGGATTAGGAGTTTGAGGATCGTTGGGGATTCAGGAATTGGGGAGATTGGGGAAGGGGAGGGTAGTTGGGCCTCCGGTAACCTCACTCACACAACGCAAGCGTTGCTTCACGTCTGTTTTCTGCTCGGCCGTGGTATCACTCCGGTCGAGCCGGCCCATTCGTGCCGAAGCATGGCTCTCCCACACTTGTTAGTTAAGAGCTTTTGATAGACTTGAATATAAAGATTGCGCTGTTTCTCTCCCAGGAGTTTGCAGAAGAGTCAGAAGGTGACACATCAAAGAAACAACGCATCATGAAGCCGGAGGTGATGGACGAAGAGGTTCCTAGTGATGCTGAGAGCAGATCCGAAGATGGGAGCCTTTACGATGTAAGTATAATATTTTTAGGTACTTGAGTTGCGGACGACATAAAGGGATTATTTTTTATACGTTACCCCACACTAGGATTGTCTCCTGAGTCGTGGGTGCGTTTACAAACATACAAGTTTACATTTAAACTGTCAAACACCGCGAGGACACCGGTGACCGCAACCTATTGTTCTTTAATTGTGTCTATAATGACCGTACTCAAAGGGTTAAGTCACACAGATACTCGGAACAACATTCTGTGTCACAAAGAGTTGTTCCGTGCGGGAATCGAACCTGCGACACGTTGCACGGCAGTTGATTGCCCAACCACCGCGCTCAACGGGCAGTTGTTGCCAGGGTTACTGTGGCTCCGGCTCGACGTGCAGGAGAAGGAACGGGGTTGTTTTTAGTCAGTAAGAGTCTGACACTCCCTCCCGCCTCACTCAGGCGGAAGAAGTCATTGGACTGTCATAAAACCACGCCTTTTATTGCCGAAGAGGTAGGCAAAGATGCACATTACGGCACTTAATGCCACTGTACAATGTAACACCCACTTTTCACTATTTTGAGAAACCTAGTCATATAATCTAATTATAAGTATTCTAATTATATCTAATTATAAATAATAAATTATTGTTATTTCTTTCTTTCATCTTCTTTCTTTCTTATTTCTTTCTATAAGTTTGATATCGCCAACCCGCATTGGGCAAGCGTGGTGAATAATGCTTAAACCTTCTCCGTGTGAGAAGAAGCTTTGGACTGCAGTCAAATAGTTAAAAGCCGATATCAAACACATTTTTTTGTAAAGCTATCTTGTTAATCTCACGAGATCTCGTCTATTTCTCGGACGAGATAAAATATCGCTAAAAATGGACGAGATTAATTATTTTATATTCGGCTTACTCACGTAACCGATTGACGAGCAACTCGATAGTTTTATGCCGTACCAGAGGCTCATATTCATGAGCATTCCGCGACACATAACGCGGCGACTGTCGAGGTACTGTAATATGAGCCTCCAACATGGCTTGAAACTTGTCGAGCAAACAGCGTCACACAGTTACGTGATTAAGACGAAAACATAATAATTAATTTTGTATGTCTCCCAAAAGATGTTTATATTAACATAACATAACATCACGCCTTTTTATCTCCGAAGGGGTAGGCAGAGGTGCACATTATGCCACTGTACAATGTAACACCCACTTTTCACTATTTATGTTATGAGTCCCATGTAATAGGGGGTGAGCCTATTGCCACATACCGGGCACAATTCCAGACTCCTTGCATCTACTGAGATTTTTTTAAAACCCCAGTAATACTTTGCCCGACCCGGGAATCGAACCCGAGACCCCTTGCCCGGCAGTGGCGCTTGCGACCACTCTGCCAACGAGGCAGTCGTTAGTTTATATTAAATCTTTATAATAAATAGACGAGATGCTGCTAGATGTCATCTCGGTCTTCATTTGGCTAATGTTTATAACTAAAATATAATATCTTGTTTACAGGAACTCCCCTCATCAGATTCCGAAGACCTAGACGACTGGTTTACCCTCGACATACGAGCTGAAAGAGCCGGTGACTACTTACCACTATTAGGTGAGAATAAAATATTATTTTTTTAAATAAACTAACTTCAAAAACTAGAGTTGCCGGTGTCCATGGGCGACGCCGATTGCTTACCATCAGTCCGTCTGCCCGTTTGCCGGCTTATACGATAAGCAATGTGGATTATATGAGCATTGTTATACATACATCATTTCAGTCTTGCTCGCGAAACTTAACTCCATAGGTGTATGCCCTAACCTTCTGCGTCTATTGGTCGATTACCTTCGTGACCGCCAGCAGTACGTGAGGTTGGGCATTTACGAGTCCAACACGTACCACACTCGTTCAGGCGTAAGTCAGGGCTCAATTCTCGGTCCTTTGCTGTTTCTTTTAATGATCAATGATCTCCCGGAGGTTCCTCAACATGCAGAATGTCTTTTGTATGCTGATGACCTAAAACTCTACGCTTGTGTCAACAGTATATCGGACTGTGAGGCTATTCAAAGGGACATCGACCTGGTGAATGATTGGGGAAATGCAAATAAAATGGAATTCAATCCCTCTAAGTGCTATGTCATGACTTTTGGTCGAAAGCGACACCCCATTACCTTCGACTATAAAATAAACGGCTCTTCTATATCTAGATCGTCAACTATGAGAGACCTGGGCGTCGTATTTGACCAGAAGCTGACATTTCACGATCATATTGCAACGGTTGCTAAGGAATCGTTTAAGAGACTTGGTTTCGTTCTGAGAAACTCACGAGATTTCAAGAATACGCACGTCATAAGACTCCTTTACAGCACGCTGGTCAGGAGCAAGTTGGAGGCGAGCTCCTGCATTTGGAATCCACACGAGGCCTCCTATTCTCTACTGCTTGAAAAAGTTCAGAAGAAATTCTTAAGATTCCTTTACAAATCCTCTCTAGGCTACTATCCATACATGTACCCAACAAAATACTTGTGTGGATGTCTGGGATACAATATGCTGGAGACCAGAAGAGCGTTTGGACAACTGTACATTATGCTTAAAATCTGCAGAGGTATCATAGATGCTCCTGACCTTCATAATGAACTGATGCGATTACATGCTCCGACTAACTACCTCCGTGCTCGTCGGCACCGCCCACTGTCTGTGCCCGCATGCCGCACAGTGGCCCGTGCATCGTCCCCTATTCCCCGCGTCTTGTCCGCGCTCAATGGCCTCTTGGAAACCTACCCTGACTGTGAGCTATTTATTAATGACTTTAAAACTGTTCAGCGTTTATGTTTAAGTTTTTGTGAAAATGTTTAATACTGTTACCTCTATTACTGTTTATTGTTTTTTAATTTATATTTTATTATTGTGATGTGCTTTATTTTTTCTTTTATATCTTTATTTTGTCATGTGATTTGTAGCTACATACGATGTTTGTTTTGATATCTGTACATGTTAATGTAACTGGTGTAAACCGTATTAACATAAAATAAATAAATAAATAAATAAATAAATAATAAGTATATGATTTCTGCCAGTGGCTTTTCATGTGTTTTCCAAACATAATCTACCCCCTGTTCCAAATTTCATCCCGATCCCTTCAGCCATATTGACTATATGTTTTTTTTATAATAACTATCGTGAGTCGAGTTATTCACGTGAATATACTGAGAAAAGTTCAACTAGTTTCGAACTTCGAGCGCAGCCCACTGTGTGTGTGCTGTGAGAGTGAGCTGCGCGATATCGTCGCGACCGCGCACGCTGCTCATGAGGAAGAACCCCTCTGTGGTTCGAAACTAGTAGAGCTTTACTCAGTATATTCACGTGAGTAACCCGCGATTTTAGTATATATATATTTTTTTCTTTAAAATTATATTGAGTCACAAACATAAACAAAATCACAAAATTGCATTTATAGTATTAGTTTAATTTTTTTTTAAATTCCAGGTACAAAAGCCAAAGAACTGTTGCTAGCAGAGCGTCGCAGAGTCAGTTCCAGGGTGGCGACGTTGCGCCAGAGTCTATCAGCGTTAACTGACAGTGCAAGACGCCAAGCTGATCAGCTTCGGGCGGCCGCCATGGCACTCGCAGAGATAGACGACACTCTAAGGGCCGCCTGACCTGAAGATCCTTCACAGTCCACTGCTGAAATATGGGGCTCTCCTACATAAATGGGATTGCTATATTAAACTGTCAAACACCGCGAGGACACCGGTGACCGCAACCTATTGTTCTTTAATTGTGTCTATAATGACGGTACTCAACAAGTTAATATGGTCTCATTATCATCAACAGCCTATAAATGCCCACTGCTGAGCAAAACCTCATCTCACACGGAGAAGGTTTGAGCATTAATCACCACGCTTGCTCAATGCGGGTTGGCGATTACAAACTTATAATTAGAAATTATAAGCTCAGGTTTCCTCACGATGTTTTCCTTCACCGTTTGTCAGTGGTGTCTAAATAATCTTAGAAAGTACATATAACTCGGAAAAGTCACATTGGTACTTGCCGTTGGTAGGTTTCGAGCCCGCACCCTCATGCATGAGAAGCGGGCGTCTTACACCTCCGGGCTACCACGACATTTTCAACATAATAGGGTAGTTTCCTAAATTTTATTTTAATGTCCGTCTGGTAGATTATGTTAAACATTAAATACGTCTTTTTTATTGGATAAATCGGTAAATGAGCTGACGTATCACTTGATAGTAAGCAATCGGCGTTGCCCATGGATACCTGGAATACCAGAGGTGTTAGAAGTGCGTTACCAGCCTTTTGGGATAAGGAATTTGAGGATTGTTGGGGATTTAGGGATTGAGGAGATTGGGGAACCTCACTCACACGACGAAACGCAACGCAAGCGTTGCTTCACGTCGGTTTTCTGCTCGGCCGTGGTATCACTCCGGTCGAGCCGGCCCATTCGTGCCGAAGCATGGCTCTCCTGCACTTGACTTTTCTTTTTTCTTTTCTCACAAAATTAAATACTTTCGACGATGTATTAATTTGAAATATCGTGTGACGTCACGACCTCCTACATTTTGTAGCACGATGTGAAAACGACCTCCCACTCCTAAACTTAACTCCATTTTATCTAAGTATTGTAACTTTATACGAGAAAATAACGATCTCCGGCCACCGTAAGCGCGGGACTGCGGACGGCGAGCATGGGTGACTCGCCGTCCGACCAGAAACAGACCCGAGCGTACGGCGCCGAGCGTTCCGCGCGCGCTTGAAAGAGCCATCAGACCACCACAGATGGGGCCCAATAGGGCCGATGCCAATTCGGAGTCGCGGAGAACCTAACGGGTAACCGGGGCTCCGGCTCGACGTGCAGGAGAAGGAACGGGGTGGTTTTTAGTCAGTAAGAGTCTGACACTCCCTTCCGCCTCACCCAGGCGGGAGCAGTCATTAGATGATTTTCCCCCCTTAAAAAAAAAATACAAGAAAAAAATAAAAAAATACGTGTCTAATATTTTTTCATTATCTAACTGACGGACTAACTAGATTTTTGATATTCATACCTTGGCAACTACCCTATAGCCTTTGCTAACAAGTAAAAGATCGCAGTTTGAAAAGTTAATCAGAGACTGTCTAAACTAAAGCGGAGTCTGGGTATACGATACCCACGGGAATAGAAGAGGTGGTGATTAATGTGTTGGATGATGAATGATTTGGTTGCCTATAATTTTTTATCATCTTTATTTAGTTTTAACTCCTTTATAAAGCGCTCGGTCTCTGTCAAAAGTGGTCCCTTAGTCTGAGTATACGGCAACCGCGGGAATAGTCGCGGTAGTGGCATATGTATCTACACTGCTTTTATAAATGCACTTTTTTTTAAGGGGGGAATATCATCGAATGACTGCTCCCGCCTGGGTGAGGCGGAGGGGAGTGTCAGACTCTTACTGACTAAAAACCACCCCGTTCCTTCTCCTGCACGTCGAGCCGGAGCCCCGGTTACCCGTTAGGTTCTCCGCGACATCAACAGCCTCTTACGCTCGTTTTTCCCGTTCCCGAACGTGATTTTCGGTAAAAAGTAAAAACAATATTGTATTAAAAGTATCCTATGTCCCATCTCCTGGTTCTAAGCTACCTCCCCACCAATTTTCATCCAAATTGATTTAGCTCTACATGTCTACATAGTATAAAACAAAGTCTCTATCCGCCGTCTGTCTGTCCCTATGTATGCTTAGATCTTTAAAACTACGCAACGGATTTTGATGCGGGATTTTTTAATAGATAGAGTAATTTCACTAGTGAGTTATAAATAGTGTAACTAACACGACTTTCTTTTATATATGTATATAGACTAGCGGACCCAACAGACGTTGTCCTGGATATCCACTCGAATGTATAAACAAAAATTCATTCAAATTAGTTCAGCCGTTTTGTTCAAACATCGACTGCAGCGCCATCTGCCGGGCTGATTTGTGAATCTAAACCATTCCCAGATCCCCTTGAACACAAAAAAAAATTTTTATCAAAATCGGTCCAGTCGTTTGAGTAAGTTCAGTGACATACACACTCACAGAAGAATTATAGGTATATATATAAATATTGTATTACATTATCTTTTATTAAGATACATATACGCCTCTCTTCAGATCGGACAAGTCTTTTAACAAAATGTTGTCATATACACTTAATTGTAATTGTAATTAAATATAAGTTTCTCACATAAGTCTTGTAAATACATTATTATGAAATAAAGTACTTAGTTGTTAATACAGTTTTTTTATTATTTAACCCACTACCTGTTCATAATAACATAACATAACATCACACCTTTTATCCCCGAAGAGGTAGGCAGGGGTGCACATTATACCACTGTACAATGTAACACCCACTTTTCACTATTTATGTTATGAGTCCCATGTAATAGAGGGTGAGCCTATTGCCATATACCGGGCACAGTTCCAGACTCCGTCCTACTACTGAGAATTTTTTAAAAACCCAGTAATATTTTGCCCGACCCGGGAATCGAACCCGAGACCCCTTCTTCTTCTGTGCTGGGCTTCATTTTTTTTTTTTTTTTTTTAAGGGGGGAAAATCATCGAATGACTGCTCCCGCCTGGGTGAGGCGGAAGGGAGTGTCAGACTCTTACTGACTAAAGACCACCCCGTTCCTTCTCCTGCACGTCGAGCCGGAGCCCCGGTTACCCGTTAGGTTCTCCGCGACTCCGAATCGGCATCGGCCCTATTGGGCCCCATCTGTGGTGGTCTGATGGCTCTTTGAGGCGCGCGCGGAACGCGACGCGCCGTACGCTCGGGTGCTGGGCTTCATACAGGCGGATTATGCTTAGAGAGCGCCCTAGGGAAGTACGTCATAGACGCCCTTAATTTGTTTTGTCGCCGCCGTCACTCTATGTGCAGTTGTATACGCGCGTCTTGCAGCGCCCCTCTGTAACCTGGCGCCCGGCACTTGTCTAGAGCGCCTTAGGGGTAATACAGCCCTGACTTTTATAACTAAATACTAAAAGCACTCAAAAAAAAGATAAGATAAACTATATACCGAAACGATCTTCGCAAACCAACCGTTAAGCGTTGTCATAGCAACCGAATTTGTTATTTCAATAATTCCCATGTGTATAAAAGAAGAGATCAAACAATACCTTTTGTTATTAGTTTTTGTATTTCATCGTTAAAATGAGTGGCGATGTGATGTACGATGCGCCGCCGAGAAAACATAACGTTGCGAAGATGAGAGTCCACGATTATTTATATGGTAACTATTACATTATTAATTGAAACTATCCAGTATTTACAATGAAGGTTACTTCGCATGTAGGTACAATATTAGTAGGATTAACTTTTATCACTATTGCTTTTCACACACACACACATTCACAGTCAAAATCATTTATTTCAATTAGGCCAGAGAGGCATATTAGAACATCAACAAAAATTTAGAAGTTTGCTCATTCTAACGTCTAGAAGAACGAGCAAGAAACTCCATACCACTTACTCTTTTCCAATCAGGTTCACAATACAATTCTCCAGTAATGATCATCTGATTCACTTCGTTGTGGGAACCAAGACAGTTTTTCATGTCCCTGGGACGCGCCGGACTTCAGTGTGCCGGTTTTTTCATGGTTGTATCTACTGTAGATCCTGGCTTACAGGAGTTGCGGCGATTTTGGGAGGCAGTGACGGGCTTGTCCCTTAAAAAAAATATACCTATATATTAGGTACCTAACTATACAGTATGGATAGACTTCTGTCTGGTCTCTATCTTATGTCTAGTTCTTTAGTCTGATTTTACAACACCCACGGGATGGGTAGGGTTGGTGACACTCTGCGGTCATCATACTGCTAGTAATGGAGCCTACCGTATTTTTACTCACCAGATGGCCCTCGTGTAGATCTCTCGTTCTTTGTCCAATATAATAGGGAACTAGCTAGTGTCACACCACCGGACGTTCGACGGACGAAATATTTTTGACACCCGCTGTGGTTGGTCAAAAATACCCCTTCCTACATCTATACCATCTGGTGAGCATAAAACGTTAGCCCCCGTTAGATTACGTATAATAAAATTTGCGTTTACTTACAGACTCGGCGTTCATCGTGTCGGGAGCGCGTGACTACGCTCGCACCGCTTTCAAAGCAGCTATGGCATCAGCTCAAGTCGTAAGTTATTTTAATAAATACATTATATTAGTGTTTATCTCGTTTTAATCGCGATTGAATGTATTGAACTGAACCGACACGACCTTCAAACCTTCAAGAAAAGAGCATATTCTTTTTTAAAAGGCCGGCAACGCACCTGTGATTCCTCTGGTGTTGCAGGTGTCCATGGGTGGCGCTGATCGCTTACCATCAGGTGATCCGTCTGTTCGTTTGCCACGTATTAAAAAAAATGTGCCTCCGGTAACCTTGTGGCGTCCCACTATTGGAGATATGCATGCATAGTAATGTGGGACCCACTTTTAGTATTAAGACGAGAATATTGATATTGTCTATAGTCGCCATTGACCGTCTATGGTTTTATGATTAACTGTTCTGTAACACACCAGCCGTTACACTTTTGACGGACAAGTCGATTATAAGTTTTGCCATTGATTATAACACGAGTTTTATTTAAAAGTCTGCCTCTAAATTACACGGCGCACTACGCCTAAACCTCATTATGATGTCGCGGAGAACCTAACGGGTAACCGGGGCTCCGGCTCGACGTGAAGGAGAAGGAACGGGGTGGTTTTTAGTCAGTAAGAGTCTGATGCTCCCATCCGCCTCACCCAGGCGAGAGCAGTCATTGGATGATTTCCCCCCTTAAAAAAAACCTCATTACGATTGCGGTGAAACAACGTTTGGGTGATTCACGCCGGTGTACTATAAGAGCGTGATGGGTCTCCCAGAGCCGTATCATCTTTAAGACAAACTAGGCAAATGCCTAGGGCGCCAGGAGGGGAAACTGCTTATAAAGTCACAGCGCCCAAAAAAAAAAAATAGGGGCGCCTATGAGTAGCTTGCCTATGGCGCTTTCTAGGTTTTAATCCGCCCCTGGCACACCCACACTTAAACATTGCTAGTATTTAAATCTATGTCTATATAAATAAAAATGAATTTCCGTTCGTTAGTCCCGCCAAATTTGAGAACGACTGTACTGATTTGGATAATTTTGGTCTTGATATGTTCGTGGAAGTCAAGGGAAGGTTTAAAAGCTGAGAAAATAATTTTTAGACGGTAGGTACGAAGTTCGCCGTGTCAACTGGCTAGTTTTAAATGTATTCATTTTGTTTCAGGTTTTACAGCCAGTGTACGGCAGCATGTTTTCTGAGTTAAGTCTCCGACCGAGAATGAAAGTCGGTAAGTGTTGCTATATAAAGCTGAAGAATTTGTTTGTTTGTTTGAACGCGATAATCTCCGGAACTACCAGTCCGATTTCATTAAATCTTTTTGTTCTGAATAGTCCATTTATCGAGGAAGGTTATAGGCTACAAAACATCATGCTACTATCAATAGGAGCCGAGCAGAAGGCGCAACCGCTCGGAAGTAGCTAGCGTGTTATAACGTTAATCTATTCTTATCTAATCTATTTTACCAATCTCTTGTACATATATTAGCCAAACTTCGACATATACATACAGGTGTCCCTGAAGTCGACGATCAAATGGCACCAGGTGATCGGCAAGGTTTCAATAGTCATCAGAAAAATATAAAAAAAAATCGAAGTCATATAGTTTTTAATTTCCAATGACTTAGGTGTAATCCAGTAAAAAGTACACCTGTGCCAGTGTTTAGACTTTAGTTGCTACAATTCTTTATTTTTTTTCGTCTGTATTTTTGCTTACGTTATCCTGAATAGTAGGTACTTCAGTATTATAGAATCATAAATTCTGAGCCAACTACTTAAAACAGGTAAATAAAAAATAAGGATCTTTAAGCTAAGATAGCTTAAAGATCCTTATTTTTTATTTAAACTGACACACTCGGTACATACGGTGACCTCGACGTGAGTGGGCCCTCGCGATATCGCCGCGGCGCGGGCGCATTAATATGACGATATCTCCAAAATATTGTATGAAAGATGTATCTTAAGTTAATGTGTTCATAATCTGTAGTTTATAAGCTACATCGTGAATATAATTTATGATGATTTTATAAAATGATATATTGTTAATTCTAAGGTAAAAGATGGAGAAAGTCGTTGAAAGAAAATATTTTGCATGGTATTAAAAAAACTCAATTTTTCAAATTACTTTTATTTTATTTACAAAAGAATATACAGTTTAGTCATAATCCATTAAAAAATACCCTTTCATGGTGGTTTTTTACATTACAAGCGTAACAATCACTAGCCTTGTTTCTGCTACCTGAGCGCAACACATAAAAATGGTCATGTTTATACTTCAGTTCTGGGAACACTGTGGGCCAAGTGGCAAAAAACAAAGACTCATTCTGTAGTTGGGTTCGTGATCTTATTACAAACAAAGGTTTAGCTGTTAGACATGTATACTTTACAAGTATTGAACAAAAAACTAAGCACTTGAAAATAAGCGCTAAAAAACGTGCTCCCAAACTTTCCATCAAAAAGCAAATTTTGTTAGAAGTTTTTCTAATATTAATTTATATTCTACAATTTGATAATATTTACTCATCAAAAAATATAATCATTATGCATACTACATGTCAAAATCATTTAAAAATTATAATCTAAAACAAACATTTTTATCTACAAAAAGTAGCAAGGGCATATTAAGTAAGCTAAAATAGTATGGATACGCCCAATACTGTCTGTCTCTGTCACACCTCAACCTTTTATGCAGAGATAAAATTAAGTAAAATAAAAATTTTGTTTATAACGTAAACAGAAAAGCATTTTTAGGTAGTGTTAATTTTTTAATGGAACAACTAATAATTTCAAACTATGTATAAACGGTAATTCTGAAATAGTCCTAATAATAAGTCAAGATTTACGGATCGAAACTCGATCGAAAACGAACAAAGTGCGGTATATACTATATACATATTGATATACACACTAAAGATAGATAAATAAAATATATAGCTGTAATGTAATTTTATATGTAGGTATATACTTATAAATACTTATGCTTTATATTTTAAAAATACTTAAATAATAAATTATTTATGTAAAGTAATAAAACAGGGGTCAAGGCATACGGATTTGTTGCAACCAACACAATACGTGTGCACCCGTTTTTTGCACACCTTGCACACCCGCCGCTTGCGATAGTTGTTTTGCAACGGGTACTCAGCCAAGCGGTGGGTGAGGTCGGCAGGTCTATTCTGTGTGGTTACAGCGGATGGAAGCGGAATTAATGGAGCGGCGAAAGAGTGTTTCGAAAGGAGAGATTTGACGAGAGTCATACGGAAATTGCGATGTGAAAGGGAAGACGAGTGGTGATGGATAATATATGAATTTAAAACAGATACATTTAATAATCTTCTAAATAATTTTTTATACCACACCCTTGTTCGTTTTCTTTCCATCGGGTACATGGCAAGCATCTGGTCCTTTTTGTCAACCCCACCCATCATGATATTGTAATCTAATATCAGAATGGGTTTGATTGACTGTTGGACTTGCCTAACCGCACTGCCATGGTATGTTGAGATCATACCGACTCTATTATTATCCCTCCATACCATGACATCGACGTCTCCCGAGGTCAGGCCAGTGATTTGCCCCTTGCGCATGTTAGCCTTTGTCAGATCGTTAAAGGCCGGCGGAACAAACTGGCGATTTGTACGCAGGGTCCCTACGCAATCAATTCCAGAAGCCTTGAGACGCCGAGCAAGACTTGGAGAATTGTAAAAGTTGTCCATCCACAACGTGTGTCCTTTGTTCTCAAGACCATGTATAAGTCTTAAGACAGTTGAAGGCGTGGATGCGTTTAATGGCTCTCCCGGCTGCTGTTGTGGGGATCTCTTATGAGCGTGAATTTCAAACCGCCACAAATAACCAGTTTGAGATTCACAAATCTCATAAGATTTTATCCCCACCACAGCAGCTTTATTGGGAACTATCTGGTTAATATCTAACCAACCTTTCCACTGCAGAAGAGATTCGTCCAAAGCTATGTTTTGACCCAATTTATACATAGTTTGGAATTTCCGGTTGAGGTGTTCCAGTACTGGCGTAATTTTGAATAATTTGGCCTCGGAAACAGCCAGTTCTGACGCTCTCATTTTTTTATTGTTTCTAAAATGCAAAAATTTATTTAAAAGTATGAATCGATTTATCCCCATATGAGCGCCAAAACCGGGGGTGCAAAATATGTCAGCAGTGGCATTCCAGTACTCTTCTAACCTGGATTTAACAACAACCCCCATCGCAATTATAATACCGAAGTAAACATAAAGTTCGTCGGCTGTGGTATCATGCCACTGGCTAATGCGGCTATTGGGAGAAAGGCTGTTGTTGTTCATCATCTCCTGTGCCACCTGCTGAGCATATCTGTTTGTTTCCGACGCAATGTACTTCATAAATTGGCGATCCCATATAGACACGAATATCTCATATGGTTCGACATGTGGAATTGTTGGACCATTGCTTTCGGAAAATGTTTCCCTCCTCGATTCTGGTGGAATTGGAGGATTTGGAAACGGTTTCCAATCAAATTGATAAAAGTTATTTGGCTGGTGCGTCTCCGCCGAAGCAACATCCACCACAGCAGACGATGTGCTAGCCGTAGCGGGCGTATTGATGGTTGTGGGAGTTTGTGCAGACACATCATCATCGTCCATTGGTGTCTCCAGTGTGCTTCTAAAAACCCTTGGAATTAAAGAAGACACCACTTCATCGTCGCTTTCGTCAGAGCTTGCATCGCTTCCTGTAACAAATATTTAATAGGCTTAGATAATTGGTCTAAGCCAGATTGTGTACATGATGTGGTAAAGATCAAAAATTTCAACCAATCTGAAACTAGTTGCTACATACCATGATGTAGTCCGAAGTCGATATCATTATCATTTAAGATCTGACGACGGCGACGACCAGAACGCACCTTTGGCGACCGAGATGGCGTGCTCAGGGCTGACTGGCCACATTCCACAATCCTGAAACAAAAAGTTTTGTAGTTGGTACCCATCTCTTCAGGGTTAAGAAAAAAAAAGAAACCTAGGTGCTTACATTGCCGGCGAGGGCGGCGTCGTTAAAACAGGAGATGGGCTCTCACGAGACACCTTCGTTGATGAGCCGGATGGCGTGCTCGGGGCTGAAGCGGTCGGTGCGGGTGTGGTAGCCGTTTTAGGTTTAGACCTAAAAACATGATTTATTTTTAATTATACTTGCAATTTATGAAAGTAGTACGTATCCACAATAAATATACATACTTAAATAAAACTACTTACGGTTGCCACAGGCGCATTCGCTTGGGACGAAGGGGAGTTTCAAGACCCTCACCGATCGGCATCTCCGATACGTCGCAAAGAATAAGCCTAAAATCAAATAAATTTCATCAGCATGGGGCATCATTTGTAATAAATATATACACATAAAGTTATTTCGAAATACGATAAGAGCAAACATTGTTAGTAAAATAAAAAGCTAACTCGTCAATAGAGAAAGGTGCAGGTCGCCTGTTGGGGCGTTGGGGTCTAGCGCGGCTGCCACGACTACCCCGACAACCACGACTACCCCGACCACCACGACCGCCACTACCACCAGTGTAAGGATTATATTTAGTAAAACACTCTCGACTGCTGATTGAATACTGACTCTTTATTAAACTGTCAAACACCGCGAGGACACCGGTGACCGCAACTTATTGTTCTTTAATTGTGTCTATAATGACGGTACTCAAAGAGTTAATAATGCTTGATATTTAAATACACGAGTAAGATACATTGATATATGCAAACTAAGAACTATAGGATATAACTACACACTACAGTAACACCACCTCCTCGTGTGACCTTCACCAATGCTGGCACCGGCAGTCGAACCCGCACAGCTCGTTGCGGCCTCGAGTACGAGCACCACGTGTCATACTAGTCACAGTATAAATATATACAGTAGGTTATCTAATTACATTTCTGGTTGAGTAGGAACTATGAGGAATGATAAGTCGCACTGCCGCCACCTTATTCCCCCATATATTATGCTAGCGTGTGCGTGAAATCGCGTGCCGACGTGGCGCGCGGCGCGCACGCACACATTCGAACCGAGAGCGGCACGATTGTATGAAGATGTTTTACTGTATGTTTACCGTGTACTAGTAAAAGATATAAAAATGCAAACAAACCAAAAAAGCACATACACGTCTAAAAAAAATACTAATAAAAGGTAAAAACAAAAAAGCACGCAAGATATAAATAAGAAGATATCTAATAAAATAACA